CGTTCTAGGAAGACAAATACCACGCAGATTCATATGTTACATTGTATTTGGAAATATTGTCGCTAATTCTAATGACTTTTTTTAACGACATGGTGGCGTAGAGATGTTCATATCACACGCCTGTAAGGTAGCTTCATTCCTGTTCAAGCGCTTTGAACACACTCAGCCAAGCCACTCCAGCTGTCGGCGACCCAAGGCGCAAGTACAACTGCCCTCTGAGCATCTCCCACGTCGCCGGTACCACCCATCGCGCCTGACAACCCAACAGCACCAAGCGTACCATTCGGCGGTGCGTTGCGCATCGCAGTTTCTTTTGCAAGCGTACTGGCGAACGCATCACCTCCAGCAGCGTCAGCGAGCTCTGTCCAACCAGTGTGTTTCCAAGGGGCAATCATAACACTGCGACGAGCCTCGTCCAACTCTTGCTCCTCACCACCTAGACTGACTGAGATGGCTTCGATGACCTTCTCCACGCGTGCCAACTGTTCGTCGCCGAGCTCCTTGTTCGTACGCAGTCGGTCCAGATCGTCTTTGATCGCTTCCATGGTTTCCAAGTCATCATCGAGTACTGTCATGGCGCCAATGAGAGTCAGCAAGCCAACATGGCCTTCGTGCTTCTCAATGGCGGTAAAGAGCTGGTCGCGAGCCACTTGCTTCTCGTTCTCTCCGCCCTTGGCCCAAAGTACTTCTGCGAGAATGCAGATGATGTCTGGGTTGGCCCCAGTTGCCTCGAGTGATGTTCGGAAATACGGTATCGCGGCGTCGAAGGAGCCACTAAAGTAGTGTGCTAGACCAGCTGTGAGACGAGCTGATAGTTTAGTCTTCGAAATCTGGTCCCCGGATAATGCGGACTGTTTGGAATCGCTGTCCAGTTCAGAGAGCAGATCAAGTGCTGTCTCAGCTTCTTCAACAGCCGATTTGAAGGACTCGATAGCGAGAAGGTTGCGGGCCAGGTCTGTCTTGGCTTGTGCAACCCGAGCCAGGGACGCCAGCGACTCTGATCTCTCATATTCTTGCTCGACTGTCTCGTTCACAGCTTGCAAAGCTGTTACAGCAGCGTCGTAGTTACCAATACGCTCTAAGAACAAGGCTGCTAGGTGCTTGTGCGGGATGTCGTAAGGTGCTTGTATGTTGAGCTGTTGAAGCGCGAACAGAGGCTGTATGAGGTTCGTGATGTTGCTGGATGACGAAGGCGAAGACACAAGGAAGTCGAAAGCCGAGACGGCGTATTGACGTTTGGTCAAAAGCAGTGACGACTCTGAAAGCTCAAATGCGTGAGTGAAGTGAGAGAGCGCCTCGTTGGAGTCTCCGGTGAGCAATGCGATGATGCCTTCGCCGACCCATGCTAATGAGTAGTCGGGGTCTTGCGATTGCGCCCTTGAGAAGGCGGTGTGCGCAAGTTCGTGATCATTTTGTAACAAGTAAAGCGCTCCTAGGTTCGTCCAGGTGTGCACACTTCGTTCGTTGAGATGTAGGGAGCGAACAAAGGCGTGCTGAGCGACCTTGGGACTCAGTGTAGTCGTGATGACACCAAGCGAGTTCCAGAACTCCGAGTTACCAGCTTCTAGCTCGATAGCACGCTTGAAACACTTCATGGCTGCTCGAAGGTATGTTGTGAGTTTCGACCCCTCAATGCCTTCCTGCTCTAAGCAGACGTGTGCTCTATACTCTGTCCAACCTAAGTTGTACCACGCTACAGCCTGTGCGTGTATGTCATGCGCACAACTGGAAACTGCTCGTTTTTGTGCAAGTATTGAGGCTTTGAGCACCTTGGTAAGAGTGTCGTCTTTATCTGCGGAAAGTGCAGCCAGCGTATCCTGTCCAAGCCCATCGATGTCCTTGTGTTCATCAAAATCGATGTTCATATCCGACTTGCTGCGCAGCACCTTCTCGATCAGCTCCACGGGAAACTGCTTTAGTTTATCTTGGACCCAAGTGAACAAACTGCATGCATCGCCCACAGCTTTCCATAGGTTAAAAGCGTCCGGCTTGTACTCGGTAATGGACATCGCAACTTCGATACCACGGGTCGCGCTATCGGCAGCCTCGCCAAAGAAACCGGTCTCAACGCAATGCCATCCCTTCTCTACGAGAGTCTGCAGAAGTGCTATCGAGACACCAAACTCTTTCGGCCGAGACGCTAGTACAGCTTCGTAACCTGCAAGAGCTTCATTGAACTCACTCAACTCGCGGTTGACGTTGGCAAGCATGTACTTGGTGAACCACCCCTCTTGGTCAGACCTCTTCAGAACAACGCCATCTGTCGGGTTTTCTGCGTAGTTGAACGCGCGTGATGCTGAGTTATATCGACCAGAGTTGTGGTAGCTCTCTCCGAGACCGACGTAGGAGTAGTAGTCATCCGGACTAATGCGTAGTGCGGATAAGAAGGACACAATGCTCTTTTGATACTCTTGCTTGTTCATCTGGACGACACCAAGTGCAGAAAACGGCCAGCTGACGCCTTTTCGTTTCGATCCTGGTGTCTGACGGGCTTTTCCGGAGTCTACCACTCGTTGGGACACGACCTCGACAATGTCCCATTCGCCTTGATTAGCGAAAAGGCGAGCAAGGCGCTCAGCTGCGACGACCTCAGAGGGTGATAGCTCGAAGGCTTTTTGGAAGCACTGCCGCGCTCGTCTGCGGTCCTTGTTGTAATCTTCGTAGAAGATGCCAAGCAGAGTGTATGCTGGCGCATAGTTCGGGTTTGCTTTGATCGCTGCGAGCAGCTTCGAATACGTTCCTTGGCGGTCCTTCCTCGCTGGCTTGGACGGATCGAGCTCCCATATACATACACCTATTCTATAAAGTGTCTGTGCGCGGAGCTCGCGGCCACGTTGCTTGGAGGCATCGAGCTGCGGGTAATCGAGGTACTCTTGGAGCCTTTCAAGACCGGTCTTGTAGTCACCGGCAAGTGCTTGACACCAGGCTGATTCTGCACCTATGCGACCATTCGAGGGATCTTGCTTTAGTGCCTTCTCAAGGAATTGGAAGGCTTGCTCATATTCCTCCTCTTCTTCTAGGACCAGCCCGATGCCGATGAGAGCAGAGGTGAACTGTGGCTTGCGTTTCAAGATGGATTCGAAGATACCCTTGGCTTCCAGATGGTTTCTTGGGGCCTGGTAGTAGACTAAAGCAGTAGCAAGCGTACTACTCAAAGCGTCGCGAGTTCTCTGAAGTGATAAGTCGGTCTTCTTAGCCTCCGCAGCAGCATATTTCAAGCCTTTCCTTGTGCTCTCGACCGCGCTTTCGTACTCCTCCAAGGACAGGTAGTAGTCTCCGAGCAAGCAATGTGCAAGTGGCGATCTTCCAGCCTCGGTAATTCCTTCAGTCATCAACACCAGACAGTCCTCCTGTGAGACTGGAACATCTTGGGTAAGAGCTACCCCACCCTCACTCAGGTCAGGTCCTTCTCTTGAGTCGCCTTCTTCTACAAGCGGGTATCTTGATATACCGCTGCTCAACCAGCCTGTGATGACTTTTGATAGGCCCTCGTTGGGAAATAGCTCAACGAACTGCCGCAAGGTCGATATGTCGAGATCCAGCAGGTCGTGCGCACTGTCCGCGTGTGACGCCATGACAGCAATCCGAATTTTTGAACCCAGCCAATGCAATGCAGAACGCCGACAGATGCTGTAATGAGAGGGATTCGAAATGTCAGAGATGTTCGAACGGTTTTATTGTGAAGGGTAGCGACAAGTAGATTACAGAGTGGTTGACGTTGATGTTCGTGTTTTGGTAAGGCTGAAGCCCAGGATCGACGCTAGCATGCCGTGCGTCATTGCCTGCTCTTTCGACGCTGCGAGCCCCACACCAAAGCTCCAATTCACTCCTCATGGCACCTTCATAACACAAGTAACGCCGTACGGACGGCTACTCCCCAAACTATCGCTATCCAAATCAACGACATGTCTACGAAAACGGCGCTGAAGGCTGCGAAGGCGGCGATTGGCGCAAAGGATTGGGAGGAAGCGAAGAACCAAGCGACAGCAGTGCTGGAGAAGGAGCCCCAAAACTACTTCGCCTACCTGTTCCTCGGACGCGCCAACGACGGCCTGAGCAGATTCGACGAAGCGGCGAAAGCCTACTATGACACGACCAAGCTCAAGCCTGAAGATCCACAGGCATGGCTCGGGCTAAGGGGCATGTACGAAGGTCTCAAGGGCGCCAAGGTTGATGAGAACATTGACGTCGGACTGGAACTAGCGCAGATATACATGAATTTGTATGTTCTGTCTATACAGGCTCAGAGGCAACAATGCTAACAAGAACAGGGACGACGCGCACAAGTCCCAATCTGCCATCGATAAGCTCGTAGATCACGCTCGTGCCCATGGCACCAAGACTCAATATGCACGCGCACTCAGTACCCAGCTGCCGTCCTCTCCCGTATACTCTTACCTCGAAGGTCGTCTGCCAGACCCGTCAAAAACGTACACGCGCATCGCCGAGATTCACGAGACACAGGAGGCTTCCACAATCAAGCGGCTCATAGAAGAGAGACGACTTCGCATCGGCGCGACACTGGAGGGTACCACAGCCTCTGTTAAGAACGAGATATACGCTACTAGCCCGCTAGAAGGGATATACGAGGAGATCATTAACTGGACGGGCGATGACGAGCTGAGGCGGGAATACGAGGAGAAGCTGCTGGCTAGAGCGTACGATACCTTGATGGTGCTGCCATCGGGAGAAAAGGCGGAGAAGAGGGAAAAAGTCATGAAGCTGGCCCATGACATGGTTGTGATCAAGCACCCGAACCTCCTGGCTTGGACAATCGAGTTGGAGTGGCGGAGCGGTATGGAGGTCGAGGCATACTAGACGATTTCACGAGATTCTGCATAGCAAGGCGTTTGGCTGTTCGATGACCGTTTTGGGGGAATCAGGCACATGAATGGGACCGAGTTCGGACACTCTTCTGAATATACGAACGTTTGCATTATGATAATCTTTGCGCAAAACTGTTTCCAAACGCCAAACGCCACCCATGCTACCCTTGTTCTCTACGCGTTCGCCGCGCCTACGACCCTCTTTCTCTCTTCTACACTGTAAAGACTTTCGCCTTGTTTGAGCGCATGAATGAGCATCGGCACACTGCTCGCCTTGAAGTCTGGCGCTTCACGCACTTTGTCGAGATCGTCAGCGAACTCAGCCGCGATTTTGCGCAGATAGAGGGCGCCGAAATCGTCTTGCGCCTGTTGACTAGCCTTTGATGCTACCTGTTTTGGTGGCGGAGAAGCTGGTACATCTGTCATAGCGACATCTTCATCTGGCTGAGCATCTGGTACACTGCCAGTCTTGGATTTCTTCTTCTTCTTCTTCTCTTTCTTAGCGGGTGCTGGTGCTGGCGCTGGCGAAACATCCTTCTTCGAGTCAGCTCAGATCAAAGCTATTCAACGCGACTCTCGTACCTTAGGTTCTTCTTCTACCGCGGCCACCTTTTGACTCTTCACGCTTGAGACATCGCTGTCACTTTCGCTCGATGATGAGACTGTCCAGTTGTTAGCGTATCCCTCGCGACTGGTTGAACCGCGCTGCTTGTACCCTCAGTTCTCGTCCTCCTCTTCTTCGACCGCTTCTTCTTTTCGATACCGCTTGCTCCTCTTTGCGGCGCCATTTCGTCGTATTTGGTGGATTAGGAAAAAGTTCGAGATGTGAATGTTGGTTATCGATAAGGCACGTGCGCCGCTAAATCAAGGGTCTGCACTTTTACTAGCCCTGGAGTCCTCATCTCTCTCGGCTCATAGCTTCACGACTGGAACCAGAATATTTTCGGAAAGGGATGCGTGCCCATCATATGTTCGAAATTACGAGTGTGACGATATGTATGCTACGCTTGCCATACCGCGAGATGCAAGTACCTCTATCTGAACTAATTCGGAAACCCTATCCTCCAGCCTCTTCTACAAGATGCTCTCTATCGTAGCAAGCTCTTCCATGGCACTCTTTACGCTCGTCTTGATTGCGTCGCCAACTGGCAAGTACGGTCGCCTTGGGTTAAGCTTCCCCTCGGCGCCCTCGATGCCAGCAGCTTTCGCACTGTATTGACTAACAGCATGCTTCGTGGGAGCGATTCCAGCTTTGATCGGGCTCTCCGCGAGCGCCGCCTTGCGGTGAAGCTCCAAGGCTTCTTGAGTCTTCCCAGTAGTATACCACTCGTAGACCTTTGAGCAGACCTTCGGGAAGACGTTACTGAATGCTGACACACATCCTGCACTTCCAACTGCGAGGCCAGCAACCAACCAATCCGCTTGGCCTGCATACGTAGAGAAGGTATCGCTTGGCAGCTCAGCACAAAGCCTGGTTATCTTCGCGACGCTACCACACGTCAACTTTACGCCGACGATCTTGCCAGGGTTCCGTTTTGCGAGCGCGGCGATCGTGACAGAATCAAGGTCCACCCCGTTGCAGATACCCGGGAAGTTGTAGATGACGATAGGCAACTCGGATTTCTGCGCAACCTCATCGTAGAAAGCCATGACGACTTCTTTAGAAGCTGCTGGCCCATAGTACGCCGCTGGTAACAAAAGTCCATAATTGGCTCCAGCCTCAATTGCGTCGCTAATGTTCTCCATGACTTGAGGTACAGAGAAGCCTGAGATGCCGACCATCAGAGGGTAGTCGGGGCCGACGGCCTCACGAGCACATTTCATCAACGCTCTCTTCTCATCGCGAGTGAGGAGAAATGCCTCAGCGTTAGAGCCAAGAACGACTAAACCAGTAAGACCCGATTTGGAGAGGTATTCAAAATACTGTTTTTGTGCGGCGAGATCCAAGGTTGCCGTGTCACTTTCGGGAGTGTAGAAGGTTACTGCGGGGCACCATACGCCCGGAGCTGGTGGAGGAGCCATTGCGACTGTAGCTGTTGATAATAGTCTCCGGGGAGGGTATGCTTTCTTGGTCGACCTTGGTGATCAAAGCGGGGAGGCGGGGTGCAGGTGGGGTCGTAAATCCGACAATGAGAACCTGTGAGCGTTTCTGTAATCAATACTTATTTCAATGTTCAGCAGCACATAGGTAGTAATATATGAGATCTGAGTTGAGAGGATGAAAGGTGGCCATGCACCATCGGAGTCATGCCGTGGGCCTTCAATAGCCGCTGCGCGGAACGTCCACGGGTTCCGACTGTCCCGATGCTCGCATTTGTTGAGCCTCATCTTCTGCCAATCTCCACTCTTCCAATAATGGCCTTCCAGATAGCGACCTTTCTCGTGAAATCCACGGAATATATTTGGAGATGTATCACTATAAGAACGCCTTGGGAGTGGCCGGTCCACCCCTCACCTGCCCTTCGTAGGTTGGCCCCACTGCTTTCGGTGGTAGACTGGACCGCTGCTGCCAATCGTAGACCTATGGAACAACAGCATGTTTCTCGGCTCGATCATCGTCATGAATACAGCCATTTTAGATAAGAATGAGAAGAGTTTTCTGTCGGCATATTCGACTATCCAGGGCAGCATTACGATCGATCCTCTTGCTTTACTTGACTCAACCCTAGCATAGGCAGATCCTAGTGTCCAGGCTGATTGCATGTGTTTATTCCAATGAGAGAACCTCTTCTCAAGCGGGCAAGATGTCGTCTCCGAAAAGTCATCAATGTCCCCCGCCCCCGCGAAACCCATATCAGCAAAAAAGGACTCACGCGACACGATCAACAAGCTCCTGACTTGGCGAATGCAACGACAGTCACGATCACCAAACCTAAAGACAGGCTCCAGAAAATACTCATGGCCGTATCGAAGAAGCACAGAGGACGATTACACGACGAACTCGCACAAAGGCTTCATCAGGATGTTCGCAACGCCCGAAGCATCGACATATCACGTACTATGGATGTTCCCACCCCTGTTCTCGTACCTACACAAGGGCAGAGTTCATCGTTCTTATTGATGCCTGCAGAGATTCGAAACGAAGTCTATCGGTATCTCCTGCCGGATGTTACCAGCCTGCGAGACGTTACCGGTCTTCTTAGCGCTTGCAAGCAGATCCGTCAAGAGTTTTCCAGCATGATAGTCGCCGAGAGCCAGTTAGTCATGAACGGCGCAGTACAGAAGAGCATCGATATGGTTCAAGTAGCTTTTTCCACTACTGAGATAGATACGGTCATCGGCACGCCCCAGATCCAGACGCACTCCCACCTTCATAACGTGAAAGTCCGTCTCGGAATGCGCGATACACGCTCGCTACCTGCCGACGCAAATGAACCACGCATATACTTCGACGACGTCTTCGCCTCGTTCCGCGAATTACTGAGCCTACATCTACCTTACGTTACCGTCAATGTCCCTGCCGCAATCGCCAAAGACGCCAGTATAGCCGATCCCGAACTTCGACATCGCCTGCTAGACGCATGCATCTTTACCTTCAGGGGATTGGAAGAGACTCCAGGGGTCACATTGAACGTGCAGCACGTTATATTCAAGATTCAGACTCACAAGTGGGATACCGCGGCTCTTATACATGAACCTGTTGTAGTCTTTGTAAGACGTATCAACGAACAGAAAGAGATTAAGTTTGATCTGCTTTGGAAGGACCCAAGGACGGAGAGCCGGCAAGTCTCCACAGATATGGCAATGATGGCACAGTTGAACGATATCGTGAGGAAGAGTCGAGAAGCTACTTTAAGTGATCATTAGTCGCAGAAGCTACTTTAAGTGATCATTAGTCGCCGGTACAGAGCTGCATACTACTGGCAAGCAACGTTGGAGATGCGAACCTGTGGCTGACAACTCCTAATCGCTAGGATATTTCTGAGTACTTAGTACAAGGGAAGCGACGCATGTTCCATAATAATTACAAACAAATTGTCTTACCTTGGGTCGCCTAATGATATCCCCACAACGAGTACGAAACTGGTCTGGGCCCCTTCAACACGTGGATTAAAGAGTTTTTCTCGTTGCCATCTGACCAAGTCTAAACGTATGGGTTCCAAGGCTGTCCCTTCGCATGAGTATAATTTTATTCTTTGCCGCCAAAACCCCATCACCTACCACTGCCCCTCCTGCCCGCTTAAAATCTGAAACTAGGGAATATATCGACATGAGTAACGCGTCTAGCAAAAGCGCGCGAGGAGACTCCGACCCGATGACCAGTGGGTACAGCAAGTCAGCTCCTACCCAGGACGGCACCAATCGCCTCCTCCAATTGCCAGGCGAGATACGCAACACGATCTACGAATACGCACTCACCGCCAACCATCACGAGCTCTTCTATCGCGATTCGATCGACTTCGACACCATACCCCAGGCAGTGACCGAAGAGGTCAACAGTATAGACGATATCTGGCACGCAACACCCCAAGAATGTGTGGATGCGTATTACGAACATGAGTCCGCGCAGGGCGTAAAGCTGTGTTCTACCGCAGAATCTACATCCGAGTTCAACCAGCTGAAGTACGTGTGCAAGCAACTCTACAAAGAGACCAAGCACTTGTCACTGTTATACAACGATATCGTATTCGCCCAAGACAACGTATGCGCTCAAAACGCTACCCATCAGTTCATCCGCTTCGTGCGCCAATGCGACAAGTCTTGGACTTCTCAAGTCAAAACTGTGGAAATTCGACCATTAGTTCGCTCCAAAGATGAACGAGTGGATGTCGGAGGCCTCATCGTGAAAGGGCACTTCGATGAGTTGCGCATTACGTTAGCCGACCCCTGCCATAAGCTAAATCTCCTGGCCGACTACTGCATCGAAAATCCCAGGGTGCATGTCCGATTCCGTTTATTGGCATATGGACCATTGTGTCTTATGTATCATGAGGCAGCGCTTTTTCAACGTCGACTTCCCTCAGTCTTCTATGGAAATGGGACCTGCGTACCTTTTGGCAACCATCTGCGTGTTGTCAACGACCATTGCAAGACTCTAGCTGTTCGGCTGAGCCAATGTCGCAATTTTCGGTTGTTCCTTACCAAAGAGGAAGCGTTTGATGAGCAAAGACTTAGGAAGTGTATGGTAGAACATAAGTTCTTTCGCAAACACATCTTACCGCTACGTGATGGGGGATTGCAGGAATGCATCGAGGGTAGGAGGAGTATCTTTCTTGAGGGGGTGTGATTACAGGTAGTCTCGGAGAGGGCGAACGCGATGCATTAGTAAAACAAGGACATCTGCGCTTAGCACAAGGCATCTGCTCGCTCAAATATGATTCCTTCATTCGACGAATACCAAACTACATCCTTAGATCTTAATACCCTCCAAAATCGGCTTCGCCTCCTCACTCTGCCACCACCCATCCTTACCACCAGGGAAGCTAAACCGATCCATACTCTCAGGCTTCATCTCAACCGAGTAACCAGGATCCATAGGAGTAACATAGTAACCGTTCTCAATCCTGGACGGGTGGAAAAAGTGCTCATGCAGATGGTCAACGTACTCCAACACGGACTTCTTCCCCGACACAACAACGTAGTCGATGGTCGAAAGATGCTGTGTGTACTCTGGAAGGCCCACACCACCCGAGTGCGGTACGATGGGGATGTTGAACTTGGCGGCCATGAGGAGCACGGCAATGACTTCGTTGACACCGCCGAGGCGGCAGGCGTCGATTTGGCAAATGTCGATGGCGCCTGAGGCGAGGAATTGCTTGAACATGACGCGGTTTTGGCACATTTCTCCTGTTGCGACACCAATGTTGTATGGCTTTAGGGCTTCGCGAATTGCTTTGTGGCCGAGGACTGTTGAGGTCAGTATGCGTTTCTCTATAACATAGAAGCAAGGAAAGGGGTACGTACCGTCATCAGGGCTGGTGGGCTCCTCGATAAACCACGGCTTGAACTCCTTCAACGCCTTCATGTACTCAATCGCCTCCGGTACACTCCAGACTTGGTTCGCATCGACCATGAGCACATTACCCTTGTCGAAACCAATGATCTCTCGTGCGATGCTGAGACGCTGCTTGTCTTGCGCAATATCGCTGCCGACCTTGAGCTTGAAGTGCTTGTAACCCTTTGACAGTGTCTCCTTCAGAAGACCACGCATCTTGTCTTCACCGTAACCGAGCCATCCTGCGGAAGTCGTGTATGCGGGGACGGCGCGGCTATCAAGGGCTTCTTGGAGTCGCTCCTTCTTGCCGGCTTCGGCTTTGGTCAAGATCTCCAGCGCCTCCTCGGGGGTGATGGCATCGGTGATGTAGCGGAAATCGATCAAGTCGACTATTTGCTGGGGTGTCATGTCTGCAACGATGCGCCATACAGGTTGGCCGAGCGATTTGGCCCAGAGATCCCAGATGGCGTTTACGACGGCACCGAGAGCGAGGTGGATGACACCCTTTTCGGGTCCAATCCACCGGAGTTGAGAGTCGTTTACCAGGTGGCGCCATGTCTTTCCCCAGTTGGCAACTAGTGAGTCGAGTGTGTGGCCCTTGATGCGGTCGGCAAGGTAGGCGATGGCGGTGCATACAATCTCGTTACCGCGGCCAATTGTGAAGGTCTGCAAATTGTAAGCAATCAGGAAACGAATGGATTCAGTTGCCAAGTGGTCACAAGTTGGCCGGTTCAGGGGTACCCATGAGTTGGGGAAAGAGATGAGATGATCAGGGCGGAGTCGCCATAGTAGCTCATCTCTTCTACTCATGGCCAACATCGAATGAGATTAGACTTACCATACCATGACCCTTGAACTCAGAGTCTGTGTGTAGGATACAGTAAGCTGAAGAGTAGTCTCCCGCTGCGTTCATAGCATCGGAACCAGTCTTGTCAAGGGATGTCTATTGCAGACGCGTTAGATTCCTCTTTCTCTATTGTATAGCTTGAATGACTAGGGAGCATACTGGAAACCGCACATCCCTCGTCTCAGCACCTGTGATTGTAATGGCCATTGTGGTGTTTTCGTTGTGTTGCTACCGATGTTCGGAATGATCGGAATACCCCGCAAAGCTACCAGAAGTTGAGATTCTTTTCAAGGCAAACTTGAAAACAAGAGATGAAGGTGAATAAAGAAGTCGAGTTGAGATGATTGAGGGGATACTAATTCCGTCTGGAGGCAGGATCTAGACGGTCTATTTAACTGGCAAGGCATCCGGCACAACACTCCACGCATCTCCACGCCAAATAGTGCCAACCGCCCGCGCCATCGTGAATTCCACCCCACTTGCCCCTCATCATTCGTGGAAGATCTCGGCGCGCCACTTTCTGGGGCTGGAAAAATCGGGGCATTTGGCAACGTTGCCGGCATTTTATTTACCTCACACGTGAGCTGTACAGTGCTACACCCCACGAACTATAGGGGTCCCTTGCCCAGGACGCGGCTCCAGGTGCTTCGCGGCTAGGCGAGAAGCTTGGGCTTGACGACGCGTGACAACGCTTAGCAGCGTGCGAGGAGAAACTACGTAGAAAGCCGCCGTGATGACACGGGCAAGTAGTTCAATATGAAGCTTGTTCCTGACCTACCCCAACGACTTCTTTACGATCGTGAAGTGTGATCAAATACCGCGGCAAACAAGGCTTACCGGCCGCGGGGTGGCATGAGTGGGTTTAAGGAGTAGTCCAACCCGAGGATCATGAGTACCATCAAGGTAGACTCTCAATGCTGAACATCAGCAAAGTAAAAAGAGCACGCATAATACTTACGCCGCATAAGACTACAGCGAAGCATCATCCAAATTTGAACAACGGTAAAGGAAGAACGGCTGTGTATTAGTGGTGTGACAATCGAAAGTAAAAGGACGGACCTGGTATGACTCTCCATTCCAACCATACACCCATTATCTACACGTCGTTTCGTGATGCAAGATCCGAGGACCCTACAGCGCGTCAATACTACCCAAACAAGACCAAGACCTCCCAAATACTCACTCGCCCGGTTCGTGAGGAATGCAAGAGCCGTATCGGTGATGAATCCGAAAGGCACTGTCGAAGATGGATTGCTGTTCCACATGAGCAAAAAGCAACGTCCTCATTTGATACCCCTCTTCTCAGTCTCACTGTAGTAGATGACCATACGCCAGAGCTTCTTCACGAGAGACTCAGCCTCGTCATCGAGAGCCACTTCCAAGTTCTCCACCAGGGGCTGCGGTGCGCCCTTGCTCTTCAAATGGTCCACGATAGCGTCGACAAGCATCTCTTCTTGTACACCAGTGAGCTCAAGAACCTTGTTGGCAGCCCACTGCTTGATATCCTTGTCGATGTTTTTCTGAGGCAAATGCTCCCAAGCGATGGGCCATTTCCACAGGCCTTCCTTGTCGTTGGGAATGTCGCGCGCCAACTGTCGCTGGGCTTCTTCGATTTCTTCTTGCGTAAGGTTTGCACGTACAGCCGCATCGAAGTTGATGGGCACGAGAGTTCGCTTCTTGGCACCGGATTGATCTGTGAGGTCCTCGTCCTCGAGCAGATTCTCGACATCGGCGGCGGTTCGACGGGGAGCGGCAGTCTTTTCGAGCTTCTTGGCGGCGGCCCCGAGCGAGATCTTGAAATGAGCTGGCTCGCGCTGTTCCTCCCTGCGCATAAGCTCTTCGCCTTGCTCCTCCAAGAAGGCATCGGCCTGGCCGCGGGCATGGTCCTTCTGCTTCCTCTGCGAGGCCAACTCGCGCCGTTCTTGTTCGCGATCGATCGCGTCTTCCTTGGCCTCCTGACCACGAACTGACTCGCGGTCGCGGATCCAGTCGCTGTGGTCGCGGTAGTAGAGATCGCGTCTCGAAGCTGCCTCTTGATCATCGTCGAATTCTCGGAGTTGCTTCGCTTGTGCCGCACGAGCTTTCTCGCGTTCCGCGTCCATATTCTTGAAGTAGTCGTTTGTACGCTCGACCGAAGCAAAAGTACGACGCTCGGTCTGGAGCCAGCGTGAGAGTTGCTTCTTGTATGCCTCATCAGCCTCTTCTGCTCGCTTCTTCTTGCGACGACGCTCAAGTTCCGAGTCGCTGGCGGAGTCATCGTCGTCCTCGCGGTTGATGTATGCACCGTTATGTACGGCACCGCCATTGACAAAGTTGACACCACCTTGGTAGTCTCGGGGGAACTGTGAGCCCTTGGGTCCACTGGGTGCACCTTGAACACCCCGTTCTGCTCTGGGGCCCAGCGGTACACCATTGGCACCTCCGGGTCCAGTAGGGGCGGATGGTGGTGGGGATGCACGTCTACCACTACGCCTGCGCTCCTCGGCTTCAAGCTCCTCTTCTTTCAGGAGTCGTTCGCGATCGCGTTGGTTGGAACGGTCGCGGAAGGCAGCAATTTCTGCGGCGACAATTTCACGCATCTCTGCAGGGATGTCCGCAAGCTCATCCTCGCCATTTGCAAGGTTGACGAATGCAACTTCCACATCTTCACCGTCTTGTGCCTGTGCATCTTGCATCATTGTGTCTCCTGCGTAGTCGACGTGGGGTGCGTTCGGCGGGTTGAAAAAGCTCGCGAGGACCGAGGAAAGCGCTTCTTTGGCACTGTCGAGCCTAAATTGAACCGTGGCCTCGTCTTCGTTTCGGGTCTTGCTCCATTCCTCTGCGTACTTGATCGAAGCATCATCCACCATGACGTGCAACTTGGTCGTCTCCACCTCGTCTTGTTCGCCGTCGTCGGTTTTGGGCTTGCCGGCCTTTTGACGCTTTGTAGGCACACGCACGTCTTTGAATATCTCGGCGGCTGTCTCCAAGCTCTGAGCGTCTCCAAATTCGGCGAAGCCAAACGTCTGGGGCTTGTTGTTGGCGTCGGTAGCTCTCGTCCACCGAACAAGCTTTCCTGCCGTCTCCAGGATGCGCTCCATGCCCTCATCGCCTCCAACGCCATCGGGAATGTTGCCGACGAAGATGGTTCGCGCGATATCTTCGCGCGACGGGGGATTAACGGGCTGGACGGCGTCCCTGCGATCGCCGTCTCTGTCCATGCCAAGGCCACGGCGACCGGGTGGTGCGGCGTTGTCTCTTCGGCCGCCTACAGGGCTGTCGACAGCGCCAGGTCGTCCGCCCTGTGTTCCCAGACGGATGACGGGCGCATTGAAGTTGAAGGTGGGCATGTTCGTGGGCGGTGCCCATCCGGATGGCAGAGCGCGTGGTGCATTCATTGCTGGCGGGCCTTGGGCGTTCGCGACACCGGGGGGAACTGCTACGCCGGGGGGAGCTGCTGCGCCTGGAGGACCTGCGCAATGTCAGCTTTGCTATTGTCAGTTATTGCCATCACATACCCATTCCAGGCGGCGCCATGCCTGCCATGCCTGGCGGAGTGCCTGCGAAGCCCGGAGGGCGGTTGTAGCCCGGAGCACCTGCGCATGTTAGCTGAGTTCGCGTCGCAAAGGATCGCTTGACATACCAGGATAGCCGTACATCTTGCGCAGATATACAGTCGCCGAACTTGGTGGGATTATGTAAAGAGAGAGGTTGAATAGATTGTCGAGGTCGCTGTCGCGTGTTACAGTGAGAGAAGAAGTCACAGTTGAGATTTGGAGCTCGAGGAACGCTCGGACCACTATATCGCCGACAAATTTGGGAACCGCGACGTGCATGGCCTCCATCATTCACCGGAGCCATCCCGCAATTGCCCGCCGCCAGCACGTCTAATCACCCCGCCCATGTCAATACTGTAGCAGCAGAGATTCAGAATGGCCTCACGATCGTTGGGCGAGCTTCTGCTCCGCCCTTCCAACTTCACACGGATACCGCACACCTCGAGCCGGACATGTCAACGAGCGATTTCGCACACACCGAGATGCCTTGCGCAACAACCACTGCCGAAGAACGACGACGAGCACTACGTACCCGAACGGGAAGCTCAACGGCCGCAAGCCCGCTACATGCCTGAGCGGGAGGCCGCAGCACCACAACCTCGGCCACAGCCCACCACCCAAAGAAATACTACACAGACAATGGACGCTCTCCTCGGCAGCATGCCTCGGAACGCAGGGTCTAACCCACCAACCAGCCGCGTCTTCGGCGAGGAGTTTGCGGGCTCCGGCAGCAGACGACCTGGTAGGAGGCCAGGCCTGGATTTCAGCCAAATGGCGACGACCGATGGGATGCTAAATCCCACCCTCGCCAACAAACCCTCCGAGGCGTCACCACTCGCTGTACAACAAGAAGAGACATTTGCCCAGTTCCCGCGCTTGAACCCCGCATATGGACGCACTGTAGAGTTGGATGTCAACCGAGGACGGGATATTGTGAGGGGCATCGGCATGTTGGGAAGTTTGATGGCAAGGAACAAGGTCAAGAGCGACTTCAACAAGCAAAAGTTCCACGAAAGAGGCGGACTGAAGCGGAAGCGGTTGGCATCTGAGCGGTGGAGAGCGAGGTTCCGAAAGGGTTTCCAGGACGTCACAAACCGCGTGACAGAATTGACGAGGAAGGGATGGTAGACATGAATGCTCTTGTTCTAAGACTTTGGGATGGTTTGGAGGGGCATGTGTAAATCGGATGTGTACATATTGTACTATAAGAGCATTTGCATAAGAAGCAATGACTGCTTCTCGATTTGATAGATACAAACAGATCACGGTTGTCTCCGTAAGCTAAAGATGTAGCAATACTTCATACCGCACGATACTGTGAGGGTCACCCTGAATACACATGAATCCACCCATCATATTGTCAAATCCAGGACGTGGCTTTATACAGCTTGACTTCAATTGGCCCTTCTGAAACAGAAACAGAATACATTCCGCTTTCAGTACAGCAAATCTGCATCTTTTTCGTCTTCACAACCATGTCGCGCAGGTGAAGCTTGGATTGCGGAGTTGCACCGGGAGTGTCTTTGCCGCGGGCGGGCACAGGCCAGGGACCTCGATCCGTACTCAACAATGTCCAAGTTGACACATGCACCTCGACCGTCGCAGCTGCCTTACGCGCAGCACCAACTACATATGCGCTTAGCGACTCCTTGAGCCTCCTCTATATCATAATCGCCATGATATCGCAACGAAAGTCACCATCATGGCTCCTTGTCGTCGCGTTGTTCTCGTCCTTCGCAGCAGCGTTGAGCGGCCAGGAGCCCATGAAGAGCGCAGAAGAGGCACGGGGATATAACCCGGGGGAAATGATACCAGTCAGTTGTTTGAACAGGACCATGTAAGTCTCAATACCCATCTAAAAAGGTGCGAGTGCAATTGCTAACCCCAACCAGAGAAACCGGTGAACACGTACGTCTACGATCTCCTACCCAAGCCACCCGCGCAAATACCCCAAAACCCATACCTCAGCCCTACTAACACACCCCCTCCCAGATCACTGACGCCGCCGGCCACCTCCAATACATACCCTTCCCCACCTGCAACGAAACCGGCCAACCCCTCCACCTAAACTTCGGCGTAGAGAAAGACGTAAACTGCACCATAGACTTTGTAACGGACGAATTCTTCCACCTGCTCGAATTCTACATCCACAACGACGCGCCCCTTTCCTGCCGCATCCCGTCCAAACCGCTCCCACCCAGCGTCCTAGAAACCGAATACCGGGTCAGCGATGAAAGCACACAGGAGGGCGCACTGGGGACGCAGAGTACAATGTACACGCCCCTCATCATTGCGCTGGCGGGGACACTGCAGTTGAGCCATTTGCATGTGGGGAATTACTTGAATCTGCTCGTTCATGCTAGTCCTAAGAGTGTGGCGCCCGGGACGGTGGATGCGGCGACTGCGTATTCCGTGTCGAGTCATACGCGCAATACCAAGATTACGATTGGGGATCCGTTGAGTCTGGCGTTCAGTGTGCGATGGTATCCCAGCACGACGCTGCCTCCAGGTTGGAGTGGATATGGAGGACATATTTATACTAGTACGTTGGTGTACTGTTTCTTGAGTGCCGTGGCGAGTGCGGCTGTCTGCGTTGTTTACTTCCGTGGTGTGGAATTACCGAGACGACTGAAGAGGTATGCTACGGATCGGATGAATGGTGGAGGTGGAAGAGGATTTGGAAACGGAGGTAGTGGATACGGGCTTCCTGTCGCTAACGGACGAGGAGGCGGCATGGGCAGTGGCTATGGGTTGGGAGGATATGGCTACGGAGGCGGAGGCAAGCGAGTCGACTGAGCTTGACATGTGGCACGTGTATATATAGGCGTGACAATATACTTCAATGTGTCCATTCGTATTCCATGATCTCAGTATCATCTACAGATACTTGAGATGCTTGCTATATAATTTATCCTCCAGTCATCAAGTCGTTCACCCATTACAGCCTGGTCACACATCATCCGCTTACAAAGTAGACTTCTTCTTGAAGGCGTTGATGAGACCACTTGTGCTAGCATCGTGAGAAGAAGACTCCTTGGACTCGTCAAGCTCAGACAGGATCTTCTTGGCCAACGACTTGCCGAGCTCGACACCCCACTGGTCAAAGCTGTTGATGTTCCAGATGGCGCCCTCGGTGAAGGTGAGGTGCTCGTAGTAGACAATCAAAGCACCAAGAGTGGCAGGTGTGATCTTGTCGGCCAAGATGGATGTGGTGGGTCGGTTACCCAGGAAGGTCTTGTGAGCGACGAGGTCCTCGGGCGCACCCTCAGCCTTGACCTCATCGGGAGTCTTGCCGACCATAAGGGCCTCAGCTTGGGCAAAGAAGTTGGACGCAAGCATCTTCTGGTGCTTGTTGCCCTCAACGGGGTTGTGGCTCTGGGCAGCAAGGATGAAGTCGGTGGGGATGAGCTTGGTGCCCTGGTGAAGGAGCTGGTAGAAGGAGTGCTGGGCATTGGTAGCCGGCTCACCGAACAGGATGGGACCGGTGGTGTACTTGACGTAGTCACCGCTGCGGGTGATGGCCTTGCCGTTCGACTCCATGGACAATTGCTGGAGGTAGGCAGGGAACCTGTGCATGTACTGGTCGAAGCTGGAAAGAGTTAGACTAAGCCTTTACGCCAGGTAGCAAACTTACGGAGAGACAAGGTGGGTCTGGGCACCGAAGAAGTCGGAGTACCAGACACTCAGAAGACCGCCGATGACGGGAATGTTCTGCTCGAGAGGGGTCTCCTTGAAGTGCTTGTCCATGGCATGGGCACCAGCGAGGAGCTGGTGGAAGTTGTCGAAGCCAATGTAGAGAGCAACGCTCAGACCAATGGCACTCCAGACACTGTAACGTCCACCAACCCAGTCAGAGAAGCCGAACATGTTCTTCTTGTCAATACCGAACTTGGTAACCTCCTCCTCGTTGGTGGAGAGGGCAACGAAGTGCTTAGCAATGTCCTCCTGCTTTGCGCTCTTCAAGAACCATGACTTTGCGGTGTTGGCGTTTGTGACGGTCTCGGCGGTGGTGAAGGTCTTGGAGGCGATGAGGAAGAGAGAGGTCTCCGGGTTAGAGTCCTTGAGGGCCTCTGCGATGTGGGTACCGTCGATGTTGGAGACGAAGTGGATCTTGAGATCACGCTGGGAGTAAGCCTTGAGAGCTTCTGAGACCATGACGGGGCCACTAAAAAGAGTTAGCACGTTTTTGAAGCGTATTCAAGTTGCGTGGAATTGCATACAGGTCGGAACCACCAATACCGATGTTGATGATGGTGTCGATCTTCTTGCCAGTGTATCCCTTCCACTCGCCACTGCGGACTTGCTCGCTGAACTCCTTCATGTGGTCGAGAACAGAGTTGACGTCCTCAACGACGCTCTGGCCATCGACCTTCATCTCCTGGTTGGAGGTGTTGCGAAGGGCGACATGGTAGACGGCGCGGTTCTCAGTGAAGTTGATCTTCTCGCCAGCGAACATGTCATCGCGGAGCTTCTCGAGGCCAGCCTCTTTTGCGAGCTCGATGAGGAGCTTCAGTGTCTCTTCGGTGACGAAGTTCTTGGAAAAGTCGAACAGGATCTCGGAGTTCTCGGCATCGTTCTTGAAGGTACGGCTGAACTTCTCGAATCGCTACGACGTTTTAGCAAACGTACTAGGATAGCTTCTTCTGGACTTACCTGAGGATCCTTCTTGAAGTACTCTTTCAGGACGATGTCCTTGCCAAGCTTCTGGTGGTGGTCCTGGAGCGCCGACCAGGCGTTGAGGTCAGAGGCCTGTGCGAAGCCGGGCATGTTGTGTTACGGGATTAGGTGTTGGGGTATAAAGGTTTGAACTTGGACAATTGGAGAGGGGTAGGATCAATTGCAAGTGTGAGATGATGAAGAAGGTGTGAGTAAGGTGAAGGTTGTTGTTTTGGCCGATGTCATTAGAAATGTCGCGGCCGAGACCTGGCCCCGCTTGCGTCAGAGCTTCGTTGAGGGAAGGAGGGGCACCACTTTTCCCACGCGCTTGCTGTCACGACATCCCGTTGGTCCCACCCCGACAGCCCTACAGCATTTGCAAGCACCACAAAGCCGATCACTAAGATTCGTGCATGTCAAACTCAAAGGGGATATCGTCTTGATTTGCTTGCCTGAATTTAGGCTTCTCTCACACAAATGCTGCCTCAAGCGCCATGCCATTGCACCTGAACCCAAAAAAGCATCAAAGAGCGCTGAGATCCCACCAATCACCACGGCTTCTATCTGTGGATCCAAAGCCGGTGGGTGTTGTGCCTGGTGTCGGCTCCATCGCCGTGACAAGCCACACGCATACTCAACGGAGATTTCCCGAATCCTAATTTGTTACGCCCAGGAATGCACTATCTTTCTGTCACACCCTCGAATGATGGATCCTTCACCGAGCCACCAGCGTCGCCAAGGCCAGCAACAGGGCGGTTGTATGACCATCCCGCGAACTGCTGCTGCATGGTCTGCGAAAGCATGGGACCATCGACATATGAATCTGTTGGAGCCTCGGAAGTGAACTCGCGGTCGAAGTTGGCAGTGTCCTTTGCGTCAACCTGAGGGCATGTTAGATTTCACTCCTCGAACAATGATGACATTACGTACCACATTAGGCTTGAAGCTGGGCTCATACTTCCTCTCAAGAAGCTTTCGCCAGTCGATGCTGTGGAAGAAGTAGTGCGCCTTGATCTCAGCTGCGCCCTTAGCACCCAGTCGCTTCTCAGCGTTGCGGTCCAGCAGGCGGGTCAAGAGATCGCGTGCAGCCGGTGGCACGATCTCAGGGCCAGGAAAGTGTAGAGGCTCAGTGAGAATCTTGCGGTACATGTCGTTGGTGTTCTCATCATAGAACGGAGGCAGTCCGGTCAACATCTCGTATAGGAGAACACCCAGTGTCCACCAATCGACAGACTTGGTGTAGCCGGCGCCAGTAAGGAGTTCCGGAGCGAGGTATTCTGGTGTTCCACAGAACGCTAGGAGGTGTTAGTAAGCTGACACAAATTCATTCGGACTCGACTTACTGTTTGTCCGGTCCTCATCCTTCATGTCCAGCTTGCAGAGACCGAAATCGCACAGGGCAATGTGGCCAGTGTAATCGAGAAGGATGTTCTCGGGCTTCAAATCACGGTAGATGACGTTGAAACCGTGCA